ATTTTTATAAATTTTATTACATTATATATTATATTATATTTTATATCATATATAATTTTTAGGATTTTTTCCATTTCTTAAAATATATAACAGGAGTGTTATACGTATATTTCGTTCGTATACTTCTTCCTATAGTTAGTTACAAACGCAATGGCGAATCTTCCTCGAGGAGGATGGGAATGACCACTCACCGCTCTGCTACCATGCATCTGCGGTATAAAAGCAACCTCCGTTGCCGCGCGCTCAGTTTCATTCCGGAGTAACCGATTGCGAAGCAACGCTTTCAACGTGAGTATCATGTGGCAGAAAAAATCTTGCCCGGGAAAATAAATCTTGTTTTTCAAGAAAATTTACACATACGTGTATCTCGTTGCTATTCAATTACAAATTCTTCTTATCAATTATAAGTTCTTGTGCGCTTTTTTTTATCGTTACTATGCAAGGTATATATACACATGTTTTTCAAAGATAAGCATTAACACATCGCACTTTCATGCAAATTTTGATATTTTTGTGACGATAGTTGCCTGTCAGAAATATTAATTTCATTATAAATATCTATAAAAATATCATTTTTATCACAGGTTATCGTTCAATTAAAATTTTTTTTTGCTTACACTGACGCGACAAAGTTCTCCTTAAACGTTGTACCGATTCTATAATCTCGAGCCCATTAAGGATCGGATCATCACTCAGCATCGCTTTCGATGCCAACGAAACTCTTGTTCCAGTGATCAGCATTCTGTTACCTTATATTTTATGCGATACAAGTTTATATTCATGCGAGATTTACAAGACATCTCATACAATCGCTGCGTAAAAAAAAAATATTTTCTGTGTAACGTGATAATTACGGATATTACGTGATAGATTGCGAAATCTTTCAATTATTATATATTTGATCCAGAGTTTTCACCGCTTCCGATTATTTAAATATTTTAATATCTTCTTAAACTTTAGTTTCTAAAATATTCGAGCTCCTTTGAATGACGTGAGTTCGACAATCTGTTTTCTTATTTGTCTTCAGATGAAGTATTACATCATAATACTGGCCGTGTTATTTCTGGCGGGCGTGGTCCTGGCGTATCCGCAGAAAGACGGACAAATCTTCAGCAATGAGGCGATACGACAAGCTCAGAATACCTATCTCATCCCTAAGGATGCGACTATACAGAAGGTCCAAGAAGGCATCGAACTGGCCGCTTACGAATCAATCCCCGGCGATCAAAAGATCAATCTCTTCGAGATCTTGGGTGAACACGTGCCACCCGAAGTGGTGAATAATCTTCAGACCCAGATCGATCAAATAGGTCGAAATTAGATTCCTGCAATCGTCGTCACCGTCATCGTCGTGTAAAAAATAATCATGTTCTGTCTCCTATTCTTCGTACTTGTAAAAATATTTATGAACATACGATACCGCTTTTGTACCTTGCTTTTGTATGTCGTAAAATTTTCTTTTGATATGTAGGATTTTTTACTTTTCGTAAATAAATATATGAGGAAAACAGCTCTTAATGGTATCTGACGTCACCTGCCGCGATTACGCCAGTTCATGAATAGAAAATAACTTATTGATGGCATTAATAATGCGTAGAGAGAAAAATATAAATACTAAAATGTATTTTATAACAAAATACAAGCTGCGCGCGTACTTTCTCTCTCTCTTTTTACAATTTCATTAATGTATAGATAAAAATTTTAAAATTCTATTTTGCATTGAAATTGACAAATCTCGAAACGCACAGTTTGCACATCGCTAAAATAATCACGTATTCTTGTAAAGATCGCTTAGTTTGAATTATGTATAGCTACACTAACGATATATGTCGTAGAGAAAGTTGCAGTACTCGTTAAAGAAGCGTACTTTCACTTCTTGTATTCGTCATACTCACTGAATAGCTCTTCTATTCTGCCGTTTATTGCACATGTCACGGGAATTTCAATCTAATCAAGGCACGATAGAATTATGAGATCGTATTTTTCATTTTTTGCTAATTTTATTGTCTCTTATTATAATACATATCCATACTGAACGGAAGGTGCCGATTTATATTTATTTTTGTAGAACTTTCACTTTCTTTTATATATACAGCCGTTCGTGCGTGTGAATGAGGTAAATCTATCAGAGAAGTCGTTATATAACAATATACAGTTCCGATCACCTTACGCTGTGTTACAAAAGTTGAATAAAAAAATAGTTACCTTAGAGATGATGTCCTGTCTCATTTTCTCTGTAATCTCTCACACATACATTGTACTAAAAAATCATGTATATATCTAATATAATATCTATATAATAATACTATTATATAATATAGTGATGAATTTCTCTCGAGTAAGTAGGGCGTTTTAATAAAAACAATCATTTTCATGTATCAACATTATATACATTTTGGAATATAAAAACCACAAATGACATTTGTACATTAATGATAAATAACTTAAGAGCAATGTTATTTCAGACGTTAAGTGTACAAATCTCTGAGAACTAGGCGCGCAAATGAGTTTTGGATAACATTCGATTCATTTCTTCACCTTATGAATCAATAAGCCTTTCGTTTTTTCAGCATACATATAATGCATGATGAGAGAAATTGCAAGTATATTTCCAACTCTTTAAATAATCAAAACAGATAAATAAAATAGCCAAGAAAAATTCGCTATCGGGGCCAACATTATATGATGAATCGTATTTGCCACGTTTAGTACATTTGCCTGTTTAGTACATTGTCTTGCATTTCTATCATTATTTTCTTTATATAGCTCGCAATCTATATGTTAGAAATGCTTGTGTTAATGCTGCTTTATGTTACATCACGTTTCTTACAAATATAGATACGAAATTTGGATATATTTTTCATTGATTCGAAAATATTACGAGATAGAGGATAAGATTGTAAGATAATGCCTCTTGGAAAAAGGAGATACTTTTAATTTATTCCGTTAATTCATTATCTATATACACTATATGCGTTGTTGAAAACTTATTAAAATGGATGTATATTTTTATAGAGTGATCCTTACATTATCAAATGAGGAATGGAATGAGATATACATACTTAATCTTAAAAACTACATTAATTACCAAAAACACAAAAATTATAAAATAAAAAAAGGAAGTAGACAAATTCTCTTTTCAGTACTTTTTTGAAAAAATATTAAACAGGTCTGAAATCTAATATATATGCATTCCAACATATTTTCATATAAAATTTTTTTTATATGTACATTTAAAACGTGATTGCAGGATATTGATGTATATATCCATCACTGTTAAGATTGATGTATGAATTTATTGAATATTAAAGCAAATTAAATATATACGAAAAGTTAAATATTCGAGAATGAAATACTCGAGAATTCGGAAAGGAAACAACGCCATAAATAATCATACATAATTAATTCGCTCCTGCTCATTCAATGCAAGAAAATGTACTATTTTTATGGATCAGCTAATTGCTATATCTTAAGTAAGAGATTTACTTAGAATCAGCATGGTATTTGTTGTGATTTTCTGTGTGCTTCCTTTTCAGTGTGCAGATCCTTTGCATTTACTTTCTATAAATATTTAGTAATTAAGAATGGGTAAATGAATTAAAAATGATAAATATTTATAATCATGAATGTATTAATAATTATTTACCTAGATTTCTTAGACGCCCTATCATTTCTTTCCGAACTGTCTTCGCGGGAGCGTTTTTTACTGTTGGATGAAGAATGCGACTTACTTTTATCACGCTTATCATGTTTGTCATTCTTCTTGGGGCTAAACAAACAAATTTCCAAATTATAATAACATTAAAGAAATAAAATTTAACGGTAATCACCTGTGTTTGGATGATTTGGAAGGAGACCCTTTCTTGTGCGAGCCCCCACTCCGTGATCGATCCGTTCTTTAATTATCGAAGCACAAGATTCAATACAATTTCGCAAAAAAGAAACTTGCACTTTAAATAAGAATATATTATTTTTAAGTTACAATAAATCCATATTATATTACCTGTGTTTGTCTGGTGATCGTTTATCCTTACTGCTGGACGAACTTTTGCTCTTTGAATTCATGGAACTCTTGTGTTTATGCCTTATAAACAAAACAAAAAAATATATGTATTCACAATATTCAATAGGTACTAAAATATCAAATATATTTGTGTGCATGATACCTGTCTTTTGAAGGAGATGGAGATTGTCTTCGATTTGATTTCTTCTTCTTGCTGGAACTATAATCATCACGGTAACCATCTCCTCTCTCCTTGTCCTCTTCGGCCGCTTCTCGTTCCAAATCTGACCAATCTTTACCCGATTCCTCAGAACTGCCTAATTCTTCCTCTAAAAAAATACCACAAACAAAATATATGAGTTAAAAAGTAAAAGAACAAATTAATAAAATATAATTTAGGACAGCAGTACCTTCACTGTCAATATCTTCGGAAGCTCGTGTATGTATATGTTATATATCTTCTCCAATGTAGACCAGTTAACTTTACGTTAAATAATATATCTTCTTCGAAGATATATATCATCACTTACTTTAACCATTCCTTGACATGATCCAACATATTCATAGGAATGGCATTTACCATCGCTACCTTTCTGTGATAATCTTTGAAGACAAAAATCATGTCAAAGTTCTTCAAATGGAATTGTACTCTTTCAAAATGAACTAATTCAACATCTTCCAATGTAATGACAAATGGAGGCTAAAATTCAATGTTGTATATAATGTATCATTTACTTTGTTTTGAAATATTGATTTTGTTTCATCACAATATATACATTACCCATTCTGTGAGATTAACCAAACATCCGCTAGTTGGTTGAAGCAAGACAGTGCTTCTATATGGTGCACCAGGGAAGCCCAAGTCCCGAAATGGAGTATCAAATTCAATTTCTTGCTTTGTCATTCCTTCAACCTTTGTACAACATACAGATACAACATCGTTAGTATAATTAAATGTTCCAATAATCTGCAATTTTATACACACACCTTTTCACAGAAACTCCTAAAAGCAGTTTTTAATTTATGTCTCAATTCTCGTTCCGACTGTTCAGCAGCAAGATCGTCGCGGTCATGCATGTGTTGATGTTTACCTAAATCTGTAGTAATTTCTCCAACTTCGGTATAAAATTGTACATCTACATGTTTCTTTTTGCCAAACATAATAGCATGCTGAAAATATAATAAACATTTGTATAGTTATGTACTATACAGATTCAGAAAATGTATAGATTATATTAAAATAGAAATTAATAATGCTTTTGTACATAAAGACAATTAAAAGATTCTGTTAGACATCAATTTTTAATACATACTTTTAAGTGGAAATGAAGCAGTATAATCATTTCACCATCACATGGCTGGAAGAAGGCGTTTTTAATATTATTATAAAGAATGTCCACTTTATCACCGCGGACCGAAGTGTACCGAAATCCATTTGTGTGCGCTTCTAAACCACCCGTCATTCTCTTTGTGACAATATTTGGTCGAATGTACAGATCTTTTAACTTTGGATTGCCTTTATTTTGCGACAATACTAAGGTATCCTGTTTTACGAGATCCTCCTTCTCTCTTTCTTCCGCTTCTCGATTTTTGAACTTCTTTTGAACTTCTTTAATTAGCCTAAAAGCTGTATTTAAATTTGACGATGGAGCGGAGATCTCACCGGGCTCTTTGGTATTTGTGCTTCGATATGTTACTTCTTTAACAAATGTTGCATCGGGCTGAGGATAAGATCCACCTTCGTTTCGTCCCATTGTTGCACCGGGATGAAAAAAGTTTATTCTAAGATACGTATAATCTCCCTCTACCGACTGTGAAATGTTTTTAATTGTCGATATGTGGAAGGGTACTGGAATACCAGAAATTGGTAAAATCACAGTCTCATACTTCTTATCCACATATAACTTTAACTCTTTGACCTCTGGTTCACGTGGCATGTGGCTCAAACTTTTGTATGATACTGTGGATTTACGTATTTTTTCTTGTTCTTTGCCGCCAGATTGCTGGGCCAATCGAGCCTTAGCAACTTCGTTCAATTGCTGAGCTAACTCTTTTTGATGTTGCTTCCTCTTCTCTTCCGAACTATGTTCTGTTCTCAATTTAGATTCTATTACAGCTGTTCTTTTTCCACGTCCCAGGATTTCTGGTTTTCGCTCGTTTTCTTTTCCACTTCCTTCTTCTTCTTCATCTTCATCATCTTTCACATATATACCTATATTTTTCACTTTCTTTTTCGATGGAGTCAAATTAGTAGCAGGCTGTCCTTCGTTCACCATGACTGTATCGCCTATGAAAAGGGCATATATTTTCCCTTCCTTGTCTGTTGCATCTGGATTAGTAAGGTTTGCAAGACCGACATTCACATTGAATACCATGCCCTTTTTAGCTATTGCATTAGTTTTTGGGCCTAAGAGGAGACAAGCTTTCTTTACAGTAAATATTTCACTGTCTTCTTTTGGACACATAACGTAAGCAGCCGCAGCACTTACATCAATCTAAATTTACATAGAGAGAAGAGAAAGAGATAAATATTTTGATTTTTAAATTTATATATACTTATGTATTATCTTTTTGTCTGGTGAATATTTTATATGCTTACTGTATCAAAAGATTCGTTTTTTAAAGCAGCTCTCCAGGCATCCATAAAAGCACCAGGATAATTCTCCTTCAAAAACACTCCCAAAGTTTTGCCTTTTTTGCTTTGTTTCATCACTTCAATAAGTTTTCCAAAGTTTGCTTTGTCTTCATCACTCTTTAAAATATCCAAATATTGCTTAGTACCACTGACAATTTTGATAACAAAATTTCTTACATAAATTGTACAATATACATACTCTGTCTCTCACAAATAACTTTACAGGCGGTACTTCTGTATCTTCGGTTTTATGATTTTCCACTTTCCTCAGAAATTCAATCTTCTTTTTACTGGCCAAGAAATTAATAGACTCCTCTGCCAGAATCATTATTGTATCCGTAAGTTCGTAGCTGAGCAGCCACGTCTGAAAAATTTATACAATTATATTAGTTATTTTCTATTCGATGAAGAACACAATTTATCTCGATAATAAGCATGTTCAAGTTTATTTATTTTTCAATCATTGATACAACTGTACGATAACTGACCAATAAATCTATAATCTAAATAAATATATTGCATAAACAATCAATGTTTACTCTTAAAAAATATCAGCATATCCTTGTAATAGATTACTTGTAACAAGTACAAGAGATCTGTAGCTAAAATTTATATGAAAACTCTCTGAAATATACATACTTGCAATGCTATGGACTTGCTGTAGACGATGTCTTCGTCGGAGCCGACAGCGGAGACGAGACAGTCCATTTTACCGAAACTGTCATCCGTGCCGACTTCCCCATCCTGTTGAGAATAAAAGATTTCGAAATAAATACAAAGCTTGGCTCGCCGGGATACTAAAAACACCGGGAAACACGTGCATCTCCCGCGCACACATACACAGAGCACGCTTACCTTCCATGCGGCGTACAGACGCTTCATGCGTCGAAAAAACATATCTTTGTCAAGAGAAACGTTTGCCATGATTAATCAGCAGCTGTTATACCGATTCTGCTTATAAAGGCTGCATTCAGCCAATGGAAAGCGTTTAGTTAGCGCTTTGCGCTGCGCTCCCAACAATTTTGAGCAGTTTACAGTTTCTGCTGAACGGACTTTTATTGTTGGTAGCGCTACTACCAAGATGGCGTCGACCACCGATATAGGCGCGCTCCGTTTGACCATGAAGTAGGTAAGGAGACAGTAAGGAATTGGTATGTTTATTTTTAATCACGTGATGTCTTTTTGGCGCTGAAAATGAGCATCGAACGTCAGCGTGAAAAACCACCTATCGTCTGCGTTTGTTTGACACTATAATGCTGAAATCGTTTGACTGACCAATCGGGGCAAAGATTCCTCTCCCCGATTGGTCAATCCACGATTACAGCGTCAAATGAACGCGGAGCCATAATATACGACTCTACCTTCTACCTTGAACTAGCATTTTTACTATAAAGCCCGATCTGACAAGCACACATACATATATATATATGCGCGCGTCATGCATATACTATGGGTAAATCAGGTATAGATATATAATGCATTCCAACACAACTACATATATATATATCTCACATACACATGTATAACCTACATACAACCGCGTTTTCTACTAGGCGTCAAACGTCTCTCGGGTAATCGGGATGTTAGAGCCGATTAGGGCTCTCGTTTCGCAATAAAACTCGCAAAACACGGCTGTTTAATGTGCATCATTTAATTTTCATCTTATCTACGTATGCGTTTATGAGTATTGTACATACATAGATACATACATATGCTGCATCCGAATACATCGCGTATATTTTTGTAAGCTTGGTCGCGAAATTGCGGAATTGCTTTTATTTCAGTGATTGATTGAACTATTCGCTATTTGTGTTCGGGCCGATTAGTTTTTCGATGTTGCCTTATTGTTCGAGAAGTGTGACAGAAGCGGAGCTGTATGAAAGAAAGTGAAAGATTAGAAATTGTTAGTATCAAACAAGTGTTGTGCGATTAAATACGCGACAGTTGCCGCAACATCAAAATGAGATATGTATCCACTTTGACTGGGGACTGTGCTTAGATTTACACAATTATGAAAAGAAGCTCGAGAATATACTTTACCCGAGAGTCCAGTCCTATTCTGAGGAGAAAACGACTCGTGGAGTATGTCTGAAATAGTTTATCGAATCCTGCGTATAGGATCTTACAAAGAACACAATGTATCGGTTGTATGGTAAAAGTCAGTCGTAATCTTCTTTCACATATACATATATAAACTATTTTCAGAATATTCTTGTTCTCTCTACATTATTCTGGCATACAGTAGATGGTAATTTGATTATATAACTCATCTTGAATTATTGACCTAGAAATCTTGATAAACTTGTTTTTGATGACAACTTTGGGATGTAATTATATTTTTCTATCTATTTTTAATTTGAAGTGTTAAATAACATAAACTTGTTTTAATTTGCAAGAAAGTCTTCTTTTCAGTAGCACTTTCTTACATTTAAACTAGAACATATGTATAACTCAAATTTATGTATATACAAAGGGATCTTACAGCAGTTGCAAGTAAAACGCGCGGCTCCTGTATCATGAATGTGAGTATATTTGTCAATAATTCATCGTATCTCGAATTAAATTATTCCTAGATGTATCTTTTAATATGATTTTTATTATATTTGGCAAAATGTGAATGACTTTGCATGCTGAGGATACAATATCATTCTTCTATGGTATCATTATTTAATATGTTAATTATATAATTTTTTTATAATTATATATATATATATATATATATAATTGATATATATGTCTTTTGAATATTAATGTGTTAGTCCTGGAAAGAACACAATGTATCGGTTGTATGGTAAAAGTCAGTCGTAATCTTCTTTCACATATACATATATAAACTATTTTCAGAATATTCTTGTTCTCTCTACATTATTCTGGCATACAGTAGATGGTAATTTGATTATATAACTCATCTTGAATTATTGACCTAGAAATCTTGATAAACTTGTTTTTGATGACAACTTTGGGATGTAATTATATTTTTCTATCTATTTTTAATTTGAAGTGTTAAATAACATAAACTTATTTTAACTTGCAAGAAAGTCTTCTTTTCAGTTGCACTTTCTTACATTTAAACTAGGACATATATGTATGATTCAAATTTATGTATCTACAAAGGAATTAAATAAAAAGATACATGTAAAAAATTTCAAAAAGTGCAGCTAAAATCACAGACCTTTTGTATGACAATAACATTATTTTAATATAAACCTTTTATTTTTTCCTTTATATATTAAAAAGAAACATTTTTAAAATAATATAAGTAGAAGAAAGAAATATGCCATTATAAATATTTTTATCTCATTAATAATTAAAAAGTTAATAATTTATTTTTTCATATTACCATAAAATAGTAACATTATTTATAAGTATATTAAAACATGTTGATAAAACAGTAACATATTTAAAAGTATATTGTTAAAATATATATATTTTTATGTGATGTGTATGTGCATGTATCTATAAGATTACTGCGTATTGTATGTTTTATCTATTTTAAACTAATTATTTTCAATCATTAGTATCCAATTGGTTTTTTGTATTATTTTTGGGTGTATCTTGATTGTATAATCCTAATATAATTTCTCATCCTTTAAACATATTTATAAAACATATGGATATCATATTGAATTTTAGAAAATTGATCAATCAAAAAGTTTTTCACAAGTTTTATGTATCGTAAATAAGAATACAATTGTCATTGGCAATTAATTACGTGTTTAAATATTTTATTGATGTGATTGGTATACTGTCTAATCTATTTTTAATTCTCAATACTAGGTGGTCAGCATAGCAGAGAGGTGGTGTCGAGAAGGTGGTTGACACGCCTTCATTTATTTGAGATGATTGAAAGTGTATCACGCAGAGCGTTGAGTGGCTCCAGTGGGAGCTACCACGTTCGTGGTGCTGAACTAGCGAGGAATCGCAGATTAAAATCTTTATCAGCCGTCGTTACCTTTCTTGATGATACACAGCATACATTTCAATTAGATGTAAATACAATATTTTTTTATAGATTTAATAATGAAATCATATTCAAATATAATAAATGTGTTTATGTTTGCGCAGAAACGAGCAAAAGGACAAATTCTATTGGACTTGGTGTTTCAACATCTAGAACTTATTGAAAAAGATTATTTTGGTTTACAATACTCTGAAAATGGAGTTAGCACAACTATCCCTACATCAGATACAATGGTAACATATTTTAAAAGTCACAATTGTATGTAATAGAAAGTTAGCTATTCTATTTCTTTTTCAATATTATTTAATATATAAGTTGTATATCTCGAACATATAGTAATATATAGTAATATTTTAGCAAGTTAAGAAAATAATATTAACAAGAAAATATAATTTATTAATATATAAAAATTTTCAGAGATGGTTGGATCCCTCTAAGCCAGTGAAAAAGCAGATAAGAAGTAAGGGTAAAGATCGTATTTCTTAAAACAAAATGCCTTCGAATTATATGGAAACTATATATTTTTCATATCTGTGTAATATCTCTTTTTACATTTCATATCACTAAAAATATACGATATACATTTGTTCTTTTCAGGTGGACATTTCTTTTTTGCTGTAAAGTTTTATGTATCCGATCCTAGTAAATTACAAGAGGAATATACCAGATATCAATTCTATTTACAAATAAGACGAGATATTCTTCAAGGGAAACTTCAGTTGCCAACCAGTACAGCTTGTTTAATTGCAAGTTATACAGTTCAATGTAAGAGGATATTAGAAATATAATGTATTAATTATATATTTTCTTTTAGAATACAATACATAAATAGAACAAGTTAATACATTGGATCTTTTTATTTGATGTATATATAGCGGAATTAGGAGATTATCATCCAGAGGAACATGGGCCAGGCTACCTTTCGCAATTGCAATTGATACCTGGACAAACAGAAGAAATGGAAAAGAAGATATCAGAGCTACATAAGTTACACAAGTTCGTATATCTTGCAATTCTGTAACTGTCAGTATGTTCTTGTAAATCTTGTTTACTTTAATATCAGTAAAAGTGCACGCTTTTTTATTTATAGAGGACAACTGCCAGCTGATGCAGAATTTAACTTCCTAGATCATGCAAAGCGTTTAGATATGTATGGAGTGGAATTACATAAAGCCAGGGTACATAATACATATCAGATTGGAAAGTATTTTTTTGTAAAACTAGCGCGCGCAACATGTATATAGATACTTTATTTATTTTTTAGGATTCAACAAATAAGGAAATACAGTTAGGTGTTACATCAATTGGTCTTGTTGTGTTTCAAAATAGCATAAAAATCAATGTGTTTTCATGGTCAAAAATAGTTAAAATTTCTTTTAAAAGAAAACAGTTTTTTATACAGCTTCGACGAGAACAGGTGAGTCAGGTTATTTGTTAATTCGACATGTGCAATTTTTTTCGTGAATTTTAGGAAATGTAAATTAATAACTTTGTTGCAGTCTGAAAACTATGATACATTACTGGGTTTTAACATGCAAACTTATCGTAGTTCTAAAAATCTATGGAAAGCTTGTGTCGAACATCATACCTTCTTTAGACTTCACAGTCCAAAAATGCGACCAAAACGGTTTCCCCTCACTTTGAGTAGTAGATTTACATATTCAGGACGTACAGAATTTCAAACAGTTGAAGATGGGAAGCACAGAGCACGGATGGAAAGGACATTTATACGGTAATTATAACAATTAATAGTACTTAAATATAATCAATTCTATATCTTGTAGGGATATTCTTTTTTCATAAAGATTATTTAATATTTATACAGATCACCTAGCAAGAAAATAGCTCATGCTATTACAACGGCAGCTATTACCGATGACAAAGGAAAAATAATAATACCTCCTGGAAAATCGTCACGATCTTATGACAATAAAGTTCAATCTCTCGGTGCTCGTGAACCTCGTCAAGCATGGGGTGAAGGAAATCCTAGTGACGAGTTAGTTATATACAATAATTACAATTATATAAATGTATTCCAGAACTATTGTCACTCTTTTCTTAACTGTACATAAATAATTAACAGGTGGAAGATCAAATTTACGAATCAAAATCTATAGAAGGAAGAGAGGACAATTGTTCTGGAAAACATACAGTATAATTTTTTACATTATAAATTGTATAACACGTCATTCTCATAAAACAAATTACATCAGCAGTAAGAACAATGTGCAATTAATACACATTAATCTTATTTAGTATCCTTAGTTTCATTTATCTCCTCTTATAGTGAAGGTGGTTTTTTATCTTTGAGGGAAGAAATAACAGGAAGCTATACGCAAGGTGGAGCATTTTCTCCAGCGTTAGGATCTCGAGTATTCAGTTATGCGGATGACGACACAACTGCTGAAAGAAATATTTATGATCTGCCAGATTATAGTGAACCTACTAGTTCGCCAGCTCCACAAGTAAATATATTTGATCCAAATACCCAGACAATAATAAATAAAGACAAAAATATTTTATAAATTTGTTATCGTTTTAGATATTGGAAGATGGTTTAGTAACAATATCTCTAACGCCAGACGAACAAGGTCGTTTTGGTTTCAATGTAAAAGGTGGATTAGATTTAGATATGCCGATTTTAGTATCACGAGTAGCTCCGAATACACCCGCTGATCGTTGTTATCCAAAACTGAATGAAGGAGATCAAGTACTTATTAATTTAATATGTATCTCAAATTATTAGTAGTATTAGATTCTGTGCGATTTTGATAAATGTAATATTTTTTTATGTATCACGAAATAGAATGTTTCTCTACACAGGTTGTTTACATCAACGGAATTGACGTGAGCGGTTTACTGCACGAACGCGTAGTGAATTTAATACGGCAATCACGTGATCGCGGATCCGGGGAACTTACATTAACTGTCAGACCAAACGCTCTGTATAATGCACTAGCTGGTACCGACGAAACCTCCGAAGAAGAGCCGCCTTATAGGTATAAAATCCCAAGTTATAGATATTTTCATATTGAACATAATTCGTGCTAAATCTAATCTATATAATATAATGAATATATTTTTTTTGCAAGATATGTGCCTGATGCACCTCATGCAGCTATTGGATCCGATGCGCTGGCGCAATCTATGTTACTGCTTGCGGATGGTCTGGCGAGCGGTGCTCTTATCGCGCAATATGAACAATTATACAGGAAAAATCCAGAACTTACGTCACTCGAATCGAAAAAGGCGGAAAACCAATCGAAAAATAGATATCGGGATATATCGCCGTGTAAATAAAAATTTTCAATTCGATTATATTGTCAAGTTGATCAAAAATCTGCATATAGAGAAGCAGCAAAATGACAATATTTCGGAATAGTCAGTGCATGATAATAATACGATACATGTATCTTTTTAGATGACGTTACTCGAGTGATTTTGATGGGATCTGCAAATGGAGATTACATTAATGCTAATTACGTGAACATGGAAATACCTGGTTCAGGCATTATTAATAGGTATATCGCTACGCAAGGTCCTCTGTCTTCCACCGTTGCCGACTTTTGGCAAATGGTTTTAGAAGCCGGTAGCACGCTTGTCGTTATGCTGACAACTCTAGTTGAACGTGGTCGTGCAAAATGTCATCAATATTGGCCGGCATATAACGAGACACTTACATTAAGAAATCTCACACTTACATCTACTGCAGAAAATGTCGAAGATACATTTATTTTTAGAGAATTTATACTTCGTGATGTTAATGTGAGTAAAGTTTCACACTATTGCGTACAATTAGTTATTTTATATATATATATTTATATTTTGTGATTTTAATACATTAATTAATTTGCATATATATATGTATTTTTGCAGACTGGAGAAGAAAGGGATATAACACATATGCAGTATTGCAGTTGGCCTGATCATGGAGTGCCGAGTGATTGGCGACAATTTACTACGTTTACAGAGCGCGTTAGAGCAGCTCGTACTGGAATAGTTGAACCTGCGGTTGTGCATTGTTCTGCTGGAATAGGACGAACCGGTGTATTAGTTTTAATGGAAACTGCACTGTGTTTAATTGAAGCTAATCAACCAGTGTATCCATTAGATATTGTACGCTCTATGAGAGATCAGAGAGCAATGATGATACAGAATGCTGTAAGTTGATGATCTCATGTTGCATTGTTGTTTATCTCACAGAGCTTATATATATATCTATTTAAATAATATAATATATTATTTTTGTCTCTATTTGAATGTGATATCTCTCTTTTCAGAGTCAATATAGATTTGTATGCGAAGCAGTCCATAAAGCCTATAGCGAAGGGATAGCTAAGCCACTTCCAGAGTTCAGTAGGTGAAAATAAGAATTTGAAATGGGCAGCATGTTGTAATTATAGCCATTTCTTCTCTTGCATCTTGCATCAAGCATCATGTCATTAGAAGGTAGTTTTATACTTTGACAATAAACATATAATATATATTTAATGTAGCATAAAACGAAGTAGTAAAACAGACATTTATATTGTGTAAACTATATATCTCATTTATACATAATACTGACGTCCAGTTCTCATTCAATGTTGTACTAAAAATTGCTATTTTTTTTATCTTATCGTGCGCAAACGGTCGATTTAGTATTCTAGTGTGTGATTGATTCCATTTCTTCACACAAAACATTGTATCGTACAAAATGTGATCATATTTTTTTGCTTTTGCCCGCGTGAGTATATATTATAATATTTTATAATAATTTAATATATATATATAATTAAATTTTATATATCATTATTAAATGGAAGTTTTATGTATGTGTGCTTTATTAGTCAACACACACACAACAAGAGCTGCTATTATATTATGGAAATATCGGCACATATTTCTACACACATTAACTTTCTTTAGATTAAAAGTCGATTTTTCTTTTTTTCGAACATTTTTTATGCACGCGTATTATTTATATATTAAAATTTTATCATTTTCGACATTAGAGAGGAGAAAAAGATATGTTAAGAAGACAATGTGAGATCAACAAAAAGAAGAATAATATTAATGCATAAATTAATATATTTACACCTCAAATTCAAGTACAATTACATAAATAATGAATAAGAAGTTTATATATAGATATGATGATATAAAAAGAAGTATGCACGCAATTTAAACAAAATATACACAAATTAAATAAATTTTAATATACTAGATATTTATATAGCTATTATCACATCAACTGTCAAAATGGTAAACTTGAGCGACTTTGAAGATAATTTCTTTATATAATGTAAGTCCGACGATAGACTTAATTATGAAGATTATGAAAATAAAAAATGCGACACTTGATAGCTTCGTATCAAATTCGTGCTGTGCGCTGTGCGTTAAATTCATCAAGAAATCATTATCATTAACAATTGACATGGTAAAAACTGGATCTCATTTGTGTAATAAAATGTGAAACTTGGTCCATCCGCAAAGATTAATCATACAGAAGCTATTTAAAAGCACAAGAAGTACAATCTTCAATATTGGCAGTTTAAGGCAAGCTATTATATATAGCTGACTTGTTTTAAATAGAAAGAATATGGTTGTATCCGAAATGAATCAAAAAACTGTGTAGAAATCATAGAAGTGTGTTTTAGTCCCTTTTTTATTTTATAAGATGAAACAGATAAACAATTCCAATATTCTGAAAACGTAATATTTGACAAAAAATGTTTCACATTTTTTCCAAAATATGCATATTGATCAAAATATGTGTATTTTGTGTATGACTGTTCTTTTGGAGATACTGTAGATGTTTTATAGATTATTCAATTTTTATGCAGTTAACAAGATAAATGTACTAACATATCTCTATATGAAGTTTTAGCTTTCTAATTAACTTCACAAATGTCACACGAACTCTTTTTTGTTTAATATACTTACTGAACTTTTTAACAATATATAATACCTCATCACATGTATTATATATA